TCAGTGAGTGAGTGGAGTAAGTGAGTGAAGTGGAGTGAGTGAGTGGAGTGAGTGAGTGGAGTGAGTGAGTGGAGTGAGTGAAGTGAGTGAGTGGAGTGAGTGAGTGGAGTGAGTGGAATGAGTGGAGTGAGTGAGTGGAGTGAGTGGGTGGAGTGAGTGAGTGAGTGGAGTGAGTGAGTGAGTGGAGTGAGTGAGTGAGTGGAGTGAGTGAGTGAGTGGAGTGAGTGGAGTGAGTGAAGGGACCAGAATGTCCAAAGGACAGCGCTGGAGTGAACACAGTCAAGCTCAGACCGCGACCTCTAAGCTGTGTTAGAGGAAGTGGTTGTGGTGGTTGTGGTGGTGGTTGTTGTAGTGGTGGATGTGGTGGTTGTTGTGGTTGTGGTGGTTGTTTTAGTGGTGGTTGTTGTGCTGGATGTGGTGGTTGTGGTGGTGGTTGTGGTGATTATTGTGGATGTTGTGGTGCTGGTGGTGGTGGTTGTTGTGGTTGCTGCTGTGATGGTTTTGGTGGTAGATTTTGTGGTTGTTGTGGTGGTGGTTTTGGTGGTTGTTGTGATGGTTGTGGTGGTTGTTGTGGTGGTTGCTGTGGTGGTGGTTATGCTGGTTGTTGTGGTTGTAGTTGTGTTGGTTGTAGTGGTTGCTGTGGTGGTGGATGTGGTGGTGGTTGTTGTGGAGGTGGTTGTTGTTGTGGTTGTGGTGGTGGTGCTTGTGGTGGTTGTTGTGGTGGTTGTGGTGGTTGTTGTGGTGGTGGTTGTTGTAGTGGTGGATGGTGGTTGTTGTGATGGTTGTGGTGGTTGTTGTAGTGGTGGTTGTTGTGCTGGTTGTGGTGGTTGTGGTGGTTGTTGTTGTGGTGGTAGTGATGGTTGTGATGGTGGTTGTGGTGGTTGTTGTGCTGGTTGTGGAGATGGTTGCGGTGGTTGTTGTGGTGGTTGTTGTGGGGGTGGTGGTTGTGGTGGTGGTGTTTGTTGTGGTGGTTGTTGTTGTGGTGATTGTGGTGGTTGTTGTGGTGGTTTTTGTGGTGGTTGTGGTTGTTGTGGCGGTTGTGATTGTGGTGGTGGTTGTTGTGGTGGTGGTTGTGGTGGCGGTTGTGGTGGTTGTTGTTTTGGTTGTTGTGGTGCTGGTTGTGATGGTGGTGATGGTTGTTGTTTTGGTTGTGGTGGTTTTTGGGGTGGTTGTGGTGGTGCTTGTGGTGGTGGTTTTGGTGGTGGTGATTGTGGAGGTGTTTGCGGTGGTTGTTGTGGTGGTTGTTGTTGTGGTGATTGTGATGGTTGCTGTGGTGGTAGTTGTGTTGGTGATTGTTGTGGTGGTTGTTGTGGTGGTGTTTGTGGTGGTTGTTGTGGCGTTTGTGGTTGTGATTGTTGAGGTGGTTGTAGTTGTTGTGGTGGTTGTTGTGACGGTTGTCGATGTTGTTGCGATTGTTGTGGTTGTCGTGGCTGTTGTGGTGATTGTGGTGGTTGTTATGGATGTTGTTTTTGTGGTTGTTTTGGTTATTGTCGTGGGTGTTGTGGTGGGTTTTAGGGTGGTTGTGGTGGTTGTTGTGGTGGCAGTTGTAGTGGTGGTGCTGGTTGTTGTGGTGGTTTTGGTGGTTGTGGTGGTTGTGGTGGTAGTTGAGGTGGTGGTTTTGGTGGTGGTGTTGGTTGTAGTTGTGGTGGTGGTTGCTGTGATGGTGATTGTGGAGGTGGTTGCGGCGGTTGTTGTGGTGGTTATTGTTGTGGTGATTGTGGTGGGTGGTGGTTGTTGTGGTTGTTTTGGTGGCGGTTGTGTTGGTGGTGTTGGTTGTGGTTGCTGTGATGGTGATTGTGGAGGTGGTTGTGGTGGCTGTTGTGGTCGTTGTGGTGGTGGTTGTGGTGGTGGTTTTGGTGGTGGTTGTGGTGTTGGTTGTGTTTGTGGTGGTGGTTGTTGTGGTGGTTTTGGTGGTTGTGGTGGTGGTTGAGGTGGTGGTTTTGGTGGTGGTTGTGGTGTTGGTTGTGGTGGTGGTTGCTGTGATGGTGATTGTGGAGGTGGTTGCGGTCGTTGTTGTGGTGGTTGTTGTTGTGGTGATTGTGGTGGTTGTTGTGGTTGATAGGGTGGTGTTTGTTGTGGTGGTTGTTGTGGTGGCGGTTGTGGTGGTGGTGGTGCTGGTGGTTGTGGTGTTGGTTGTGGTTGTCGTGGTGGTTGCTGTGGTGGTTGTGGTGGTTGTTGTGGCAGTTGTGGTTGTTGTTACGATTGTTGTGGTGGTTGATGTGTTTGTTGCGTTGTTGTGGTGCAGATTGTGGTGGTGGTTGTGGTGGTTGTTGTGATGGTTGTCGTGGTGATTGTGTTGGTGGTGATTGTTGTGGATGTTGTTTTTGTGTTTTTTGTGGTGGGTTTTAGGGTGGTTTGGTGGTTGTTGTGGTGGTTGAATGGGTGGTGGTTGTTGTGGTGGTTGTTGTGGTGGCGGTTGTGGTGGTGGTTGTGGTGTTGGTTGTGGTGGTTGCTTTGATGGTGATTGTGGAGGTGGTTGCGGTGTTTGTTTTGATCTTTGTTGTTGTGGTGATTGTGGTGGTTGTTGTGGTGGTTGATAGGGTGGTGGTTGTTGTAGTGGTTGTTGTGGTGGCGGTTGTGGTGGCGGTTGTGGTGGTGGTTGTGGTGTTGGTTGTGGTTGTGGTGGTTGCTGTGGTGGTTGTGGAGGTGGTTGCGGTCGTTGTTGTGGTGGTTGTTGTGGTCGTGGAAGTGGTGGTTGTTGTGGTGGTAGTTGTGGTGGTGATTTTTGTGGTGGTTGGTGTGGTGGTGGTGGATGTGGTGGTGATTGTGGAGGTGGTTGTGGTGGTTGTTGTGGTGGTTGTTGTGGTGGTTGTGTTGGTGGTTGTGGTAGGAGTTGTGGTTATTGTGGTGGTTGTTGTGGTGGTGGTTGTGGTGGTTGTTGTGGTTGCAGATGTGTTGGTAATTGTGGTGGTACTTGTGGTGGTGGTTATCTTGGTGGTTGTGGTGGTTGTTGTTGTGGTTGTTATTGTTGTGTTGGTCGTGCTTGTCGTGGTTGTTGAGGTGGTGGTTGTGGTGGTGGTTGTGGTAGTGGTTGCTGTGTTGGTGGTTGTGGAGGTGCTTGTGGTCGTGGTTGTTGTGGTGGCGGTTGTGGTGGTTGTGGTGGTTGTTGTTGTTGTGGTGGCGGTTGTGGTGGTTGTTGTGTTTGTGGTGGTTGTTGTGTTTGTTGTGGTTGTAGTGGTGGTTGTTGTAGTGGGTATTAGGGTGGTTGTGGTGGTTTTTGTGGTGGTTGATATGATGGTGGCAGTTGCAGTGATTGTTGTGGTGGTGGCGGTTGTGGTGGTGGTTGTGGTGGTGTTTCTTGTGGTGGTTGTGGTGGTTGTTGTAGTTATTTTGGTGGTTGTTGTTGTGGTTGTTGTGGTGGTAGTGGCGGTTGTGGTGGTGGTTGTGGTGGTTTTCGTGGTGGTTGTGGTTGTTGGGGGAGTGATCGTGGTGACGTCACCACGTCCATGACGCAGCAGCAGCAGACAACTTGAACAGCTGGGACATTGTTGGCGCCTTTTGTGCTTGGTGCCGCCTGTTTATTTGTTTCTTAATTTGCAATTTAATTTGCTTGGCAGTGGCTGTGTAGAAGATTTGGTTCTCGTGTTTAATTAATGAACAGCGTTGCGGGATACAGTGAGCACGAATGACGCTGTACACAACTACATTGTTGTTGTTTGTGTTCTGTATTTTTATTGTAGAATCGACGATACAAGCGTTACAATGCCACTGTCGTACGCGTCCATTTATACTTTTTAAAATCAATAATATAATTGTTTTGACTTATAACTTTTCTTGACTGAGGACGACTGCTTGTGTTGCGATCAAAACGTCATGAGTTTTGTTTTTTTATTTTAAAATTTTATTTAATCTTCTTGGTTCTTTCGGTAGTCACGTAGAAGGGAAATAATACAATAATAAAAATAAACATAATAAAATAAAATTATCACAACGTTTCGGCCACAACACAAGCAGCCGTCTTCAGGTGAAGAAACAGAACTGTCGGAAAGACAGCGCTCCAATGAACACTGCTAAGTTTGGCAGCGTCTTTTAAGCTGGGTGGAAGGAGTAGAGCGCCTTGACAAATGAGTTTACATATCAACAGAAGAATTTAGCATTGAAGTAGCTAAGTTAATGTGATAGATTAGCAGAATGTTAAAGTCAGAAATTTGCATGTAACTGGGACTATACACTACCCGATACTTTAGACTATAATAATATTAGACTTGTCTTAAAGTCACCGTAAAACACAATAAATAAACCATTTCGGTTCTTGATTGATTGTGTTTTACGGTGACTTTCAGACCGCTGTCCATTCGCTGGCATTGCCTCTTAGTACCTTTCACGCGACGGTCAATGATTTTATTTATAGCATATTGTATAAGAAATAGTATAACAGTGTAAAGTTTAATATAATTTATAAGGCAATATATAGTATCGTAATTGTATAGTGAATATACAGCAGTGTGGTATACAGTAGGGTTGGTAGAATAATACATAGTGTAATATTACAAGTATAATATTATTATAGTGTAAAGTATAGGGGAGTGTATAGTCCCAGTTACATGCTAATTTATGAGTTTAACATCCTGCAAATCTATCACATTAACTTAGCTACTTCAATGCTAAATCCTTCTGTTGATATGTAAACTCCTTTGTCAAGGCGCTCTACTCCTCCCACCCAGCTTAAAAGACGCTGCCAAACTTAGCAGTGTTCATTGGAGCTCTGTCTTTCCAACAGTTGTTTCTTCACCTGAAGACGGCTGCTTGTGTTGTGGCCGAAATGTCGTGAGAATTTTATTTAATGTTCAGTTTTATTATTTTATTATTTTCCTTCTACGTGACTTTACCAAAAGAACCAAGAAGATGAATCCATGCAGTCACGAAAGCTTTAAATCAAAATTTGTATTGAATGTTTATTATTAAATTTTTCTTTTTTTATCTTTGTGACTTTACCAACGAGGGTGGCGAGCGCCGTGCGTCGTGTTGTCTGCCCTCTGCACTGTTCACGTTCACATCTCTCAGGACGCACCACTCAGATCCACAATCCTCACTGACTCACCACCATCACCCCACACCCCCAGCCCAGGGTGTAGGGGCTGAGTGAATGTTTGGTGAAACGAGTGCAACAACAACATGGAGTCGGTGCAGTAAAACGACAGCAGCCCCGCGTCCCAGTCCAGATGGACCCCGACTCTCCGCGGAGGCTGCGGAACTGACAGTGACGTCACTACCCCACCATGCAGCACTGAGAAGCTGTCGCCAAGTTTCTGTAGACACCAGGAGACGTCACTCCCTCCCAGGCAGCACTCATCACCACGCCCTCTCCTTGGGATCGTCGCGTACGCGACTCCAACCTGACACCACCACTCCGCGCTCCCCACGTCCACCTCCCAGTAGTGCTGACCCCACGAGAAGCTCTCAGAGCAGAGCGCTTGTGGCCGGTACTCAAAGCGGTTTGGGTGATGGGGGCGACCCTGAGGGACATCGCTCTGCGTCACCGTCCTGAGATCCGAGGAAATCTGGAGGTGGTCGCAGGCTGAGTTTGTGTCCAGAGTCGGTGAGCGTCCATCTGTGGTGAGTATTCGTGTACACACATTAATATTAGTTAGTATTAGTGTACGCATACTAATATTAATTAGTGTTAGTGTACATATAATATTAGTTAGCATTAGTGTACACACACTAATATTAGCTAGTATTAGTGTACACACACTAATATTAGTTAGTATTAGTGTACACACACTAATATTAGTTAGTATTAGTGTACACACACTAATATTAGTCAGTATTTGTGTACACATACTAATATTAGTTAGTATTAGTGTACACACACTAATATTAGTCAGTATTTGTGTACACATACTAATATTAGTTAGTATTAGTGTACACATACTAATATTTGTTAGCATTAGTAAACATATACTAATATGAAATTTCGATTTAAAGCTTTCGTGACTACAGGAATTGATCTACTTGGTTCTTTCGGTAAAGTTACGTAAAATGGAAATAAAATAATAGTGAAAATATTATTTTATTTTATTATATTTTATTTGTATTATTTTATTTCCATTCTACGTAATTTTACCGAAAGAACCAAGAAGATGAATACAAATATTAGTTAGTATTAGTGTACACATACTAATATTAGTTAGTATTAGTGTATAAATACTAATATTAGTTAGTATTAGTGTACACACACTAATATTACTTAGTATTAGTGTACACACACTAATATTAGTTAGTATTAGGGTACACATACTATTATAAGTTAGTATTAGCGTATACATACTAATACTAGTTGGTATTAGTGTACACACTAATATTAGTTAGTATTAGTGTACACATAATATTAGTAGTATTAGTGTACACATAATAATATTAGTTAGTATTAGTGTACACATATTAATATTAGTTAGAATTAGTGTTCACATACTAATATTAGTTCGTATTAGTGAATACTATCAAATATTAGTTAGTATTAGTGTACATATACTAATATTAGTTAGTGTTAGTGTACACACACTAATATTCGTTAGTATTAGTGTACATATACTAATATTATTTAGTATTAGTGTGCACATACTAATATTAGTTAGTATTAGTGTACACATACTAATATTAGTTAGTATTAGTGTACATAAAGTATATTAGTTAGTATTAGTCTACACAATCTAATATTCGTTAGTATTAGTGTACACACACTAATATTAGTTAGTATTAGTGTACAGATACTAATATTAGTTAGCATTAGTGTACACATACTATTAGCTAGTATTAGTGTACACAAACGAATTTTAGTCAGTATTAGTGTACATATATTAATATTCGTTAGTTTAAGTGTACACATACGAATATTAGTTAGTATTAGTGTACAAACACTAATATTAGTTAGTATTAGTGTACACACACTAATATTAGTTAGTATCAGTGAACACACACTAATATTAGTTTGTGTTAGTGTACACATATTAATATTAGTTAGTGTTCGTGTACACATGTTAATATTCGTTAGTATAAATGTACACATACTGCTAATCACTTGTGAATAATTAGTGAATTATAATAAATAATACCTATTAATTAATAATAAAGGTGCTACACTAACTTGACTTTGTGTGTGTGTGCAGTGGTAGTGAATAATGGTGGCGATGCCAACACCACGATGTTGCCGCCACTCTCACACCCACACACAGACATTGTGTGTCACAGTCTCGCACACTCTCACATCCACACACAGACATTGTGTGTCACAGCCTCGCACACTCTCACATCCACACACAGACATTGTGTGTCACAGCCTCGCACACTCTCACACCCACACAAAGACATTGTGTGTCACAGCCTCGCACACTCTCACACACACACACACGTTATGTGTCACAGCCTCGCACACTCTCACACCCACACACACAGACATTGTGTGTAACAGCCTCGCACACTCTCACACCCACAAACACAGACATTGTGTGTCACAGCCTTGCACACTCTCACATCCACACACAGACATTGTGTGTCACAGCCTCGCACACTCTCACACCCACACAAAGACATTGTGTGTCACAGCCTCGCACACTCTCACACCCACACACACACGTTATGTGTCACAGCCTCGCACACTCTCACACCCACACACACAGACATTGTGTGTAACAGCCTCGCACACTCTCACACCCACAAACACAGACATTGTGTGTCACAGCCTTGCACACTCTCACATCCACACACAGACATTGTGTGTCACAGCCTCGCACACTCAACAACAACCGCCATTCGCCACTAAGTGGCGGTGACGTCACCACGACGCTTGTGCCAGGCCACGTGCACCTTGAGGCCACGTGAAGTGGCGAACGCCCGCTGGCAGGAGGTCACGGGGCAGACCCAGGTGCCACGGGTCGACTGACTGAGATGACTGGCTGATGCACCACCTTTGCCCCCTACTGTGCCAACCTGCTGTGCCTTAGCCACCCGGCGCTCTGCTCGTTATTGTGAGCGTCGCTCCTCCGCCCTCCGTTGTTGTTGGAGGGCGACTACCTCCAACTGCCCAGTAGCGTCTTTCACGAGCCTCCTCCACAGAGGCCGATCTTGACACCGCTGGTACCAGTCATCGGCAAGTCCACGCGCCCATTTAGCCCCCTCGATCCGGCCAAACAAAAGCTGTTTCGGCATGCGGTGGCTGGGCATGCGGGCTACATGCCCTAGCCATCGCAGCCTTGCCCGCCGGACAAGCTCACCGATGGGACCTTGCCCAGATCTTTCAAGGATTTGTGAGCTCCTCACACAATCCAGTCTGGTTAAACCCAGGATGGATCGTAGTCAGGCCAGCCTAAATGTTTCTAACCGACAAAGATGTTCCATTACGGGGGTCCACGTTTCGCAAGCATAGAGAAGGGAGGGAATGACCGTGGCCGAGACGACCTGAAGCTTAGTGCGGAGCGACAGACCAGGTAGCTTCCACACAGTGTTACACAACCGATGAAAATATATTGCCGCTCGACTGATTCGGAGTGAGATCTCTGCTGTTAAACTGGAGCCGGTCATAAGCACACTGCCGAAGTATGGGAAACTCTCCACTTTCTCCACAACTGCCCCATCACCAATTGAGAGTTGTGGGGGTGGAGTGTCCAATGATACAAAATACCCAGGCAGGTGCTTAGTTTTGGTGGGGCTGATGGTAAGGCCCCATCTCTTAGTAGCATGCTCCAGTCTCAGCAGCAGCGTCTCCAACTCCTCCTCTGAATGAGCAGCTATTACTAAATCATCGGCATACATAACGTGGTTGAGCAATAGGGAGCCATCCCTTGACCGCACCCGGGCATCGATCAGCCTCCCATTATATCTGTATCATATGGAGATTCCCCAGGTACAGCTATTGAAGGCTTCATGAACTACGTGGTCAAAATAGATGTTAAATAATGTGGGAGCCAGAGGACATCCCTGTCGCACCCCAAGGTGTACAGGGAATGGCTCGAACTCCCGGCCACGTAGTTTTACCCGGGCCCGCTCACCATCATGAAGGTCCTTAATGATCGTGAGCAGAGGGTCAGGTACTCCAAAAGCACGAAGAACAACCCAGAGCCCAGGCCTACTGGTGGTATCATAGGCCTTGACCAGGTCAATAAAGCAGAGATGTAGGTCTTGCTGGAATTCCCTACACCTCTGCTGTAGCAGACGGACAAAAAATATGGCATCTGTGCAGGACCGCCCTTTCATGAAACCGCATTGGGGCTCCGCAAGCCTCTCCTCAGCGTGCCTGGTTAGGCGATGTTGAATAATCCTTGCAAGGACCTTTCCCGGCACACTGAGGAGTGAGATGCCCCTGTAGTTGTTACAGTCTGTGCGGTCCCCCTTCTTAGAGACGGGGACCACCAGGGCATCCTTCCAATCCTGCGGAACCCGTCCAGTGGTTCAGAATGTTGTTATGATGTCATATAGGGCAGTCTGTGCACAAACGCCACCCTCCCTCAGCATTTCGCTTGGGAGATCATCTCTGCCCACTGCCTTTCCTGGTCTCAGACTCCGGATCGCCTTCAGCACTTCCTCAACAGATGGCACTTCAGCAAGCCACTCACAGGGGGTGACTTCTTCCAATATTTGAGGCACCGCAGCCTCAGCAGTGTCATCCTCACTTTGTGCCACGATGTTTTCCTGGCTGAGGGATTTCCCTTCCCCCACTTCACAGAAATGCTCAACAAATCTGCAAACCTGTTCCTGGGGGTCAGAGATTGGATCACCGTTATATCCCCTAATGATGGTAATAGGTGTGGCGCTGCAAGTTACTTTTTTGATGGAGTTAAATAGAGATTTGTGATCGCGGGCCACTGAGGCAGACTCCATCTCCTCAGCCACCTGCAACCACCACCCATCCTTGCAGCGCCTCACGGCTCTCCGAACCTCCGAGCGAAGGCTGCGGTAAGCCTCCTCATTCTCTGATGTGGGATTCTGTAGCCGATGACAGTGGGCCTGTCACTTTTTCTCATCCATTCTGAACACCTCCTCTGTCAGCCCGGGTCTCTGGGGAGGTCTGGACCGCGTACCCAGAGCAGCCATTCCAGCTGCATGAGTCACAGTCCTAAACCTCGCCCATTTACCCTCGACATCAGGAGGAGAGGGAGACGACGCCAGCCCCAGCCGCAAGCGATGATTAAATTATCGCTTGCAACTTTCATCAGATAACTGAGACCATGCCACTTTACATTGGAATGGGGTCCTGGGTGTACACCCTCGCACACTCTCACATCCACACACACACATTGTGTCACAGCCTCGCACACTCTCACATCCACACACACACATTGTGTGTCACAGCCTCGCACACTCTCACACCCACACACAGACATTGTGTGTCACAGCCTCGCGCACTCTCACACACACACACAGACATTGTGTGTCACTCCGCTGCTGGATGAGCGCCTCCTCACGCCATCCACGTCCTGACCATACTTCACCACTGTCGTTGGTGCGCGTTGGCGATGGTGGGGATCGTGAACGTAGAAGCGTAGAGGTACAGTACAACAATGGTTCACGCTGCACTGCCCTCTGCTGGTCTGATGTGTAAACATTCGGCCCAAGGGAGACAAAGGCGGCCCGGCGTGGTGCTGGCCACCCACTCCCTCGTGTGCCGTGCTGGCCTTCATAGGTGCTGCTGCTGCTCGCTAACAGCACTTGCCCCAGTACCCAGCAGTAGGGTTCAGTAGAATATTTACACCGTTAAACTAATTTTATTTCAGCAGGTAGAGCCCACTGATCCATGTCGCTCTCTTTCAGAGTCTGCGTCTCTCTGCCCGTGGTGGCGTGGATTTTTCCCTGGTTCCTCGCGTTTTTCCCTCCCCGTTTAGAATCAATTTGCATTCAGAGGATTTGGCTGCTGCTATAAATATCCACGTGATGATCCACTTCGAAGAGCTGTCATTTGTGATAGGTCGCTTGCGTCAAAAGAGCGACAAGGTTAAGTGAGTTCCTTACCTGGTATAATAAAAGTTGATGAAGGTGGGGAGCACAGAAGTGCAGTGCAACAGAGCGGGACACGCGGGTGCAAGACTGAGGAACTCACAGACGAGAGGCAGGAGTCTGCGCATGGCCCTTTCAAGGGAGCAGATCCTGGTGGGGTCCAGTGAAGTGGGAGGTTGGGGTGCAGATTCCTTTGGGATCTCTCTCCTGGGATAACCACCAACAGCATCACACACAGCCTCGTTTTACCACTGCATTGTAACACCAGCATCCATAGCACACACAGCCCGTGTCTCACACACAGCCCGTGTCTCACACAGCTCATGTCTTACACGCAGCCCGTGGCTCACATACAGCCAGTGTCTCACACACAGCCCGTGTCTCACACATAGCCCGTGTCTCACACACAGCCCGTGTCTCACACACAGCCAGTGTCTCACACACAGCCCGTGTCTCACACACAGTCAGTGTCTCACAGACAGCCTGCATGTCTAAAACACACAAACACACAGCCTGTGTCTAAAACGCAAAGCCCGTGTGTCTAACACAGACAGCCCGTGTGTCTGACAGACGGGCTCACACAGCCCGTGTGTCTAACACACACAGCCCGTGTGTTTAAAACACACATCCTGTGTGTCTAACACAGACAGCCCGTGTGTCTAACACACACATCCCGTGTGTCTAACACACACATCCCGTGTGTCTAACACACACATCCCGTGTGTCTAACACACACAGCCCGTGTGTCTAACACACACAGCCCGTGTGTTTAAAACACACATCCCGTGTGTCTAACACACACAGCCCGTGTGTCTAACACAGACAGCCCGAGTGTCTAACACACACATCCTGTGTTGTGAGTGTTTAACCGTGAGACGTTAAGGATCTGTACCTGCGCGTCTCCTCCAGGTGCCCCTGTGGATGAGAGAAAGATCATGAGTGACGTCTCTAACCTTGCACCACGAGTCCCTCTGCCACTGCCCGCTCTGTTGTTCTGGACACCCAAATGGCGTCTCCACAGAGGCGCTCCCCACCTGCAGGAAGGCGAGCGAGTCCCTCTCGTGCTGCAGGGTGCGCAGGCGAGCGGCCTCCGCCTGGAGCTCGCTGATCTCTCGCTTGTGACGAGCGATGTCCTCGTCTATCCGGGACAGCAGCTCGCGCTCCTTCAAGGCCACGCGTTGGAGAGCCTCTCTCTCGTCTTCGTCCAGAGCCTTCTTTAGGCGGGCGAACTTGCCCGTGATGCGACCCCTGATCCCGGCCACCGATTCCTGCGGAGACACGAGGACCACGGTTGGCCCCCTGAGCCATGAGCCACTCCATGTGTGCGTGTGGGCGCCGTGGTGGCTAGGAGATGTTGACTCCCTCGCCTGGTATACAGCAGGTCGAGGTTCGATCCTGATCCTGACGCCTGTATATGTGGAGTTTGTTCTCTGTATTCGTATGGATTTTTCTCCGGGTCCCCCTGTTTTTGCCTCCACATTTAGGGTCAACGTCGCGCGTTTAGAGTATTTGGCTGCTATTAAATTCCACGTTACAATCAGCCACTTTGTTGAGCTATAATTTGAAATAGCCAGCTCGCTTCTGAAAAAAATAACTACGTAGCTCAGTGGAGCCGTTCCTGGTAAAATAAAAATGTGTTTAGTCTATGGGTCTCCACGGGTCTCTAGGCCTCTCTCAGGGTCTCTCTATATGTCTCTGTTTATCTGTTTGTCTCTATGATGTCTAGGTATCACTATGGGGCTAGTATGTATATGGGTGTCTATGGATCGATATGTTTCTCTATGTATATTTTGCTGCTGCTATAAATTTCCACGTGATAATGATATCAGCAATTTGGTTGATCTGTAATTTGTGATTGGCAGGTCGCTTCTGAAAAAAAGCTACACATCTCAGTGGGCCTTACCTGGTAAAATAATAAAATGATATTCCCTAGTAGTGAATCATGCCCCAGTGACGAGGCGCCCATGGGACTGAGTCGATCCATGCCAAGGGGGCAAGAGGGGCGCCGCTCTTTTCTTGTTTCTCCCCAAGAGGGCACTGGAGTCGTGGATGTTGAGACTCGGGCACTCGGAGTCCGGTGCGAACCCCCTCGTGGGTTCGACGAGATGTGGCGAAATGTTAACTACCTCGCCTGTTATGCAGGGGGACGTGGGTTCAATCGTGACCCTGATGCCTGTGTGGATTTTCTCTGAGTCCTCCGGCTTTTCCCTCCACATTTAGAATCGGAGTAATCCAGGTCAGGTTTTCCCATAAGTCCGACTCGGGTTTATAATCCAAGTGATTCCTTATCTGTTGTACACAACCCACAGAGCCCAAGAGAGCATCTCCGGGTTCAAGCAAGCGTTTAGAGTACAGTATTTAGAGTATTTGGCTGCTATAAATTTCAACTGATGAGCTATCATTTGTGATATTCAGGTTCCATCTGCAAAAGAGTTACAAGGCTCAGTGGGGCCTTAGCTGGTGATGATTGCTTGTATTGTGATCGAAACGTCGTGATATTTTTATTATTTTCTCAACAGTTTTACTTAACTGGACTCATATGTTTGTCGTGGTCAAATCTTGTAATCAACATTTAGTCTACTTCATGTTGTGCAATCAATTCCAAATTTCGCACACCTACTCAGATCCGGTGACAATACATGCCTTCCCGTTGTCCAATCGAGTTATTTACTTTTTAGTGCACTTTAAAATAAAAGCGTTGTTTTTCAAAAAAACTTTTTTTATGGAGCTTATTACTCACTTTATTTTCATTTTTATTTGTATTATTTCATTGTTATTAAAATATACATTATCTATGTGACTTTACCGAAAGACCCAAAGAATAAGAATTCCTTCAGTCATGAAAGCTTTATGTCAAGGAAATTTAAATTGTTTAGTCTATGGGTCTCCATGTATCTCTATGTGTCCCTATGTATCACTATTTGTCCCAATGTATATCTATCAGTCTCTATATATCTCTATTTATCCCAATGTATCTCTATGGGTCTCTAGGTAATTAATTGGGTCTCTTTGTACATCTATTTCTCCCAATGTATCTCTAAGGGTCTCTATGTATCTCTATGGGTCTGCTGCTATATTTTCAGGTGATGATGATGCCAGCCAATTTGCTGAGCTGCTATTGTTTGTGACAGCCAGGATCGCTTCTGAAAAAATCTACACAGCTCAGTGGGGCCTTACCTGGTAAATTAAAAATAGTTGTAGTTTAAATAAACTTCGGGGACGCGATTAGGAATGGCGTGAGGTGCAGCTGTGCGGTGTTCGTGCCTCTGCGTCCGTGCTGGTGTGCGACCTCCCATGCAGCTCAACAGCTGCACCACAGCTCCACCCCAACAATCCGTGGCACTCTCGACACTTTTTTGCCACAGGAGTTGAAGACGCAATGATGAGTAACACGACCTCGCGGAAGACTCGCCGATGCAGTTATCGAATGTGGCAAATGTGCAAACCACTTGTAGTTAATGTTGAGTTTGATAGTGAATTATAGAGTAAGAGGCGTCAACGTTATGCAGCTGCACGAAGTTCGCTTGCATTAATTTTGACCTCCACGATTTCCACACTGGGTGGAGGTCACGAGGGTCAAAGAGCCCGGCCCGGACACGGTACCTGCGCCTCCTTGCGAGCGGCCTCCATCCGCTTCACGGACTCCTCCGCCTCCTTCCTCTTCTCCTCCACCGCTCGTGTCTCCTCCCCTACGCGCGTCTGTAGTGAGAGACGAGACGTCACCAGAGGGAAACTCCAGCCCCCTGAGCCACCCCTCACACCGCCCTTCCCTCCACACCGACCCCTCTACAGCAAAGGCCCTCATCTCCACGCTGCCTCTCTATAGCGACTGAGACGGGGGGCATGGGGAGTGGGCAAGCTGATGCTTCGTTGTAGCAGCAGCCGGTGGGAGATGTGCTGGCTTGGTGGCCCTACCGACTCGGACCCAAGAGCCCATGTGCCCACAGCTGTCTCGTTTAGAAGATACATTTAATTTAATTGTCTATCAGGTGGCTGTGATATTAGTCTCAAATCTCTGTCCACTTAATTTATTTATACGGCAATTATGTGTGATGAAAGCCTAGGATTGAATACATCCTGAGGATCTTTCCTGAAATGTAAACCAGAAAATTACCTACACAGGCAGAGAGACAGAGGTTCAAGAGAGCATGCACACACGATAGTTTTTTTCATCAGATGTTGTGTAGCCGAGTGACAGAATTGATCAGATCATGTTATGGTGTTTCACTCTGAGGGCCTCACCTTCCGTGTCTCGTGCTCGTCCTTCAGCGTCAGGACCTTGTGTACTGTGTGTTCTCCTGCGATGACGCAAGATGAGCAAACCAGGCTTCTATCTACTGTGCAGTAGAATTCCAGCTCCCGTTTGTGATTACGGCATCTTCTCTCGTCCAAGCTCGCAGTGGGATCTACCACGGCGTGGTCTCTCAACCTGGGATTCTCCACGTGAGGCCTAAAGTGAGAAAAACAGTAGGACATCTCACATCTCAGGCAGGTCTTCACTGCAGGAGTGTGGCCGTCACCGCAATTGTCACACATGACGACCGTGGCCATCCCGTCTCCAACTCTGAGCTGCTCTGCCAGGTTGGCGAGGGTCACGTTCCTCCTCAGCTGGGGTCGCACAGGGAAGGTCGCTCGGCACTGCGGGCAGCTGAAGCTGCTCGCCGTCTCCCAGACGGCCTCCAAACACCGCAGGCAGAAGGAGTGTCCGCAGCTCAGCGTGGAGGGGCAGACGAACGTGCCCAGGCAGATGGAGCAGTGCAACTCACTATCCACACTCTCACTGGGAGTCGTGCTCGCCATGACCCATGGGCTTTGCTGAGATCGCTCGCTGTGTGGCTCAGAGAAACAATGGACCAGGACCTCTATCTTATACCGACGATGAAGAAGGAAGTAAAATACTTAAAATATTTTCATTGTCGTCACTGACATCACGAGACACCGCTTGGAATGTGAACCCATGTCCTTGGTGCGCAAACAGTAGCTTCAAGGTTAACATTGTTACAATACACACCTTGACACGAACAAAATGTATAAAAGGAATGTAATATTTTAACAAATATATTAATTTAAAGAAATTACTGTTGTTAATATAAATCGGTGAGCCTCAGCTGCGGTAGCACATTCATGAGATGAGTATCGAGAGATAACCTCATCCTTCCAGAGCTCAGTGCACAAGTTGGTGTCGATGGTAAGACAGAGCAATGGATTGGGTGCCACAGTGGCTATATGTTATTTCGCTCGCCTTACGGCTGCTTTATTTTTAAAGTTTGCATCTTTTTCTCTCTCCCCTTGGTCTCGGGAATTTGAATCTGGATCCTCCGGTTTACCTTCCATATTTAGAATCAACATCACGCATTCAGAGTATTTGGCTGCTATCAATTTTCACATAAGCCACATCATTGTGCTCTCATTTGTATAAGCCACTTCGCTTCTGACAAAGAGCCACATAGCACAGTGAGCCTTACATAGTAAAATTAAGAGTTTGTGTAGTTGCTAATATCTCATGATGTCCTGTAGCTCCATCTCAGTGTAATTACCCCAACGTGACGAATTGCTTGAATGTTATTGTGGCATCCGATATGGAATTTGTCTGTAGATTCCCGTGACCCATCCTGGAATTTTGAGACTTTTGCTATCAGTGTGAATCTATCACCAACTCTACCTGCCTCCATCACCCACTGCTGGCGATGTCACCGTCTCTCACAATCACCTTGTCCGAGATTGGAGATTCCCATTCCGACTATTCACAACCGCACCCACCACCTATTTCACTTGCGTTGTTGTTTCATATTCGCATGTACGGCTATTGCACACGCGTCCTCCATCCGTCTTTCTACACCCCCCTCACCAATTGGTCCGGGCTTTGCTCATCACACCACGATGACCCTCTAGCGTGTTCAGGCACAGCGTGGTGCGATGCACAGACATCTTGGCAGCTAGACAAAGCCTGATGGCTGCTCTTCAAGGTTTATCAGAAGAACCAGAAGTTAAATTCCCTAAGTCGAGCCCATTGAGCTAAACCATAATTTTTCAAGGGGGTTTTAACTGGCAGACATCATCAAAGCATTCCAAAAATACACAAAGACAAAGAAATACAATAAAATTATATTAAAACAAAACAATCACGACGTTTTATTGTATTTCTACATACGTGACTTTACCGAAAAAAAACAATGAGTACATTTATGCAGTCACGAAAGCTTTAATTCTTTATGAAAATAGGGAAATTTGTAATTTTCCGAAACTATGCAAATCTTTGTAATTATGCATAAAATGTATGCTATTCATGGAGGTGTAATTGTATTAAGTTATGCAAGTGTATGTGATTATGCTAATGTATGCAATTATGCTAATTCGGCTCTGCCTCGTTGTCCAGGGTTGTATTATCAATCGGGGTAATACAATGATTGATATCAGGTCTTAAAATTCAGATCTCACCCCAAGATACAGTCCTTATAATTAAGATTATTACGCATGAACTTAGGAAGGCACCACTCATACTCTTGTGTTAAGCAACTTTAATTTCTGAACACAAACATAACACACAGTACTCCTGGAGATGTCCTCCGCTTTGATCCGTACATTTAGCCCTCAATGATCACGTTTGTTAAACTGGGTAACAGAACAATCGATTAATTCCTCAGAGTAAAGCGAGCATACACGGCAATGGGAACAGTCCTTAAAAAATCAATGTGACAATATTCATACAAACAGCAAAAAGGAACATGTTCCTAAAGCAAGAGCACCATATTGTCCCGCATAGCCCGCATACGCATATAGCCCGCATATGCATAAAGCCCACATACGCATACAGCCCGCATACGCATATAGCCCGCATATGCATAAAGCCCACATACGCATACAGCCCGCATACGCATATAGCCCGCATACACATATAGCCCGCATACGCATATAGCCCGCAGACACATAAAGCCCGCATACGCATATAGTCCGCATACACATATAGCCCACATACGCATAAAGCCCGCATACGCATATAGTCCACATAGGCATATAGCCCACATACGCATATAGCCCGCATACACATATAGTCCGCATACGCATATAGCCCGCAGACACATATACCCTGCAAAACTACCGTTTTATGTAAAACAAATTTCAGATAGCCCGCACCTCCATACACCCCGCATGCATTCATATCATTAACGTCGTTACCGCAGCTTAATCCCATCATATTAATACATTCCACTATCAATTGTTAACATTACAATCATAAAGTGCACAAAAAAAACTAAATAACTGGATACGAGTGAACTTAAAACAACTCGGACACTCCGATTCACCTCAACATCGTCCGCGCATCCTCTTCCACACACAGTGGTTCTTCCTCTATCTCCTCACACACAGTGTCGCCGCTATCTCATCACACGCAGTGACTTCCTCTATCTCCGCACACACAGTGACCTGTCTGTCTATTCACACACAGTGACTCTATCTATCTATTCACACACAGTGACTCTATCTATCTCCGCAAACACAGTGACTCTATCTATCTCCGCACACACAGTGACTTGCCTGTCTATTCACACACAGTGACTCTATCTATCTCCTCTAACGCTAATTCTCCCTATCGCTATTTACTGTCTTTTGGGTTCGGCTCTCAATCTATTCTTCCCTAACATTGCCAGCTGTCCTCTTCGTATCTCTCCACCTCTCGCCAACAACTGCCCAGCAACAACTCCCCCTCCGTTCAAATCACCTAGCGTTTTATCCCCTTTCCAATTAGCCTGAATTAATTGCCACGTGGCATTTTCCTGCCAGCTCGCACCTGTCCCACGGTCAGACTTCGAGACGCCGCCACTTAACGCTAACAGCCTCTCGACCAATCACAGCCCTCGTGCCACGACTCCCTTAATTACTTCGGGTTGTTTACGCCACCCGTAACTCGACCACCTGTTCGACCTCATGTGACCCACTCTCCTTGTATGTCTGTATGTACTGTATGTGGCCAATTCCTATGCGTATCGTTTACTCCACTACATCACCCCCCCCCCCCCTCGTGATGAAAGATCCTAGCCGTCCCCGGCTACAATATACTCGAATTGGAGTAGTGGAGTGAAGCGGACGTAATGATGACAACATATATACATAACGCATTTGCAATACACAACCATTTTGTACAACCACACAACGACACGCACACAACACCTTTATACAGAATTCCCAACCCCCAAAGTCAACGTATTGTATTCCTCCTGGAACGGGTTCCCGCTGCCGGTCCATCTTCCCTGCACGGGATACCCTACGGTAAGGGAGGGCCTCGCTCATCTCGCCAACGAACCCTGCGCCCATCCCTGTCCCAGCGACACTAAGCTGGCGGGTCTGTCCATCGTTCACGGTCGAGACGGCCATTGGTCCGGATCTGTGGCTGTTCAATCGGCGTCCGGTCGGTAACCCTGCCCAAAAAGGGCGATCCTGCAGGCACACGGGGGGCAGATCTCTGGGACACGCACACTTGTGACCTCCCCACAGGTTCGTTGGACACATCCAATACAGGCTGCTCTCGGATGGGGGATGACGCATCATATGGTAACACAAATTTCTTCAGGCGCGATGGGTGAACAAACCATGTCCGACAACCGAATTTTATTCGCACACTCTGATCCCATAAAACCTCTACAATATCAACGGGCCCCTGCCAGGGGCGGTGAAACTTCGGGGACGTTCCCACCGGCACCATGGGGCAGTGCAACCAGGCTTTATCTCCAACACTCCATGGCTCTCATGGCCGCTGCCTGCCGAACAATCTTTCGTTAGCGGCTTGCCGTCCGGCCGTATTTTGCAATGCAGCCACTCGGGCTTCCCTTAGACGGTCCAAAGCTACCTGCATCGGAGCAGGCACCGTCGTAGATTTCTCCCGTTTTGGAATGCCCAATTTAACAATAGCCGGCGCTTCCGGTTCCCGTCCATACATTAGAAAAAATGGCGAGTACCCTGTTGAGGCATGCGGGGCCAATCTATACGCGGCCAGCGTCGCTGCAACATGCAGATCCCAATCATCTTGAGCGGTGTTTACTTGGTGACAAAGCATGGACGTCAGCGTCCTATGCAGCCGCTCGAACATCCCATCAGTCTGCGGGTGGTACGGGGACGTCTGGATCTTTTTGGTCCCTAGCGAGTCACACATGTCTTTAATCAATTTCGATGAAAAATTTCTGCCTTGGTCAGTAAGCAAATGTTCCGGGGCCCCCTTATCTAATACGTATCCTTTCAAGAAAGCCTCAGTGATCGACGTCACTGACTGGTCTACTAGCGGCCATGCCATCGGCCAACGAGTTAAGTATTTCACCCCGACGAGCAAATATCTGTGCCCTCGGGGGGTGACGGGGAATGGACCCAAAATATCTAGTGCCACAATTTCGTTCGCTCTCGAAACTTGAATCGATTGCAAAGGGACACGATATGGCCGTGCCGGCGCTTTCCTCCGTGCACATTCCTGGCACGCTTTTACATGCTGTTTCACATCGTTAAACATTCCCGGCCAGTAAAATTCACTCCCCACCATCAACGCGGTCTTCTTCTCCCCCAGATGCATCGATTTCTCATGTATCTCGTTAATCAGTTTCCCCCGCAACGCCCTCGGGACAACAATATAAAATTTTTGTGCTTCCACATCCCAGCGAACAAGCAACCCCTCCGTTAACATCAAAAATGGGTGATCCTCCAATCCCCTTGAACGAGAGGCACGCAGCCTCATCCTGGTCAGCGAGGAATCTTCCACCTGCAGTTGCTTCCACTGCTTCAATGACAACCCCTACAATCCAATTTCTGCTCCAGGG